ATCATACCTCTGACAAAATCAACTTATCGACTCTCCTTAATAGAGCGATAGGTCCATAAATTTTAGTCAAGTTAACATCACACCTCTGATGATCAAACCAACTTATCGACTCTCTTCAATAGAGCGATAAGCCCATAAAATACTGTTAGATTAACATCACACCTCTAACAGTCAAATCCCCCAATGAACTTGTTAATCTCTTTTCAACAAGAATAGCAAGTTTTTATTATAAAATCCCTAGCGGATTAAATATTTTCTGGAATTATCCTAGTGATAATAAAGAAAATTTCTGAATTTCACCTCTAGCGCTTCCAACTTTCTGTTAGTGTTTCAAGAAACACAGGAAGAAATAATGACAAAAAGCCTACGTATTCGACATCGTAGCAGGTCGTTATTAATAACGCCAAAATCCATGCCTTACACGTATGGAGAAATTTATCCTGAATCCTAAGTGGGGATAAGTCAACGCCTAACATGCGTTACCGATTAGTCTTTCATCGTAAAAAGGACAAAAGTCTACGTATTCAATATCGTGGCAGGTCGTTATTAATAACGCCAAAATCCGTGCCTTACACGTACGGGGAACTTTATCCCAAATACTAAGTAGGGATAAGTCTATGCCTAACACGCATTACCGGTTAATCTTTTACCGTGAAAAAGATATCAAAATCCATGCCTCACACGCATGGGGGACTTTATCTCGATCCCTAATTAGAGATAAGCCTACGCCTAACACGCGTTGTCGGTTAGTCTTTTTCCATAAAAATGACAAAGTCTATGTATTCAAAATCATAGCATCAAATCTAAGAGGGTTCATTCTCTTAGCACAATGTTACATGTGAAACGGATTCAAATAATTCACATGCTAGCCCGACTCAAACGGTAGTCGGTAAAGGCTTATCAAATCCGTTGATGGCTGAGGGTTTACCAAAAATCCTATGCATGTTCATAGGTCCATTAGCTTAACAGATGTGAGCCGAGACTTGAAACAGATGAGCTAAAGACAAGTCTCAAAGACTTAGTCAAAAATACACGGAAGCCACTTCCATGTCTTAAGTCAAAACGTTGAGGTCAGACCCGCGATGCAAAAGCCAAACGCTTAGGTCAGACCCGCGATGCAAAAACCAAACGCGAATGTAAGACGCTGAGGTCAGACCCGCGAAGCAAAAAACCGAATGCTGAGGTCACACCCGTGTTCCAAATTCAACATGCAAGGGTGAGACCCGCGTCTCAAGTTCAAAACGTAGGGATACACCAACATTCCAGAAGCAGAATTATGGCGCATACCTTCACACAGGTCCTACATGGAAAATCCCTTCAATCAAGATACCTTCGAAGCGAGTGCAAAGAACAACTCCTTATGACAAGGAGTCAACAGCTCCAAGATCAGAGTTGAGATCCAAAGTATTCCGAAAATTTATCTCAGTCAACCGCAAACTTTTGAAAACTTTGGAGGGGGTTCTGTAGGCTGTCTAAAAATCATAATAGATAGCTTATCCCCCATCAAACACCGATGATGGAAGTTACAATCTGACGACTTCCAGAAGGCTACAATTTGAAGACTTTCACGTAGATCGCTGAAGGTTACAATCTGACGACCTTCACGACAACCGATGAGAGCTCTAGTTCAATAGCATTCACAATCAACATTGGGAGTTACAATCTGATGACTCTCATATTCTCAAGGAGCCAAGACGAAGATTACAAGACAATGATCTTTGCAACGATATGATAAAAGAGATTACTTGTTGATAATCTCTCCAAAGCAAGACGCGTAACTCATCACCGCGCTCTAAGACCAAAACGCGGAGGTCCTCCCTGTGTATCAACACCAAAACGTGGAGGTCCTCCCCGTGTATCAACAATAAAACGCGAGGGTCGAACCCACGTTACAACATCAAAACGCTGGAGTCAGACCCGCGTTACAACATCAAAACGTGAGGGTCGAACCCACGTTACAACATCAAATGCTAGAGTCGAACCCACGTTACAACATCAAAACGCTGGAGTCGGACCCGCGTTACAACATTAAAATGCTAGGGCCGGACCCGTGTTTTTCAATACCCAGCGGATACCCAACTCCGCGTCTCCAGTCTAAAATGCGGAGTTAGGGTCCTGAACGCCAACGTGGGCGTTTGACTCGTTCAAACACGAGCTGAACGATTATAGGAACCGTTTTCCCCACGATCTGAGGAAATCACGCCCACTTAGGAGCAGATTTAGAGGGCAGTTACAACCTCTTATCCCCCTTTAAAAACTCAACAAACCCAACGGAGTAAAGGGTTAGATTTTCAGCATCTAAACCGCACGGGTTTGGAGGTTCTTCAGGATCTCAACCGCACAGAGAGGCAGGAGAGACGAAATCCTTGGAGATAGGATTTTTGAATCGAGTTCAGAAGATCAAATCTGAAAGGATTCTTCAACAACAGAATATCTGCTTGGTCATTAATCGAATATTCGGTTCTAACAACTCTATTCACAGAGTTCTAACTCGTTCAGAGTTCTTAAACTCGTTAAAGAGTTACCCATCAAAATTTCCACAGAAGTTCATCATTCCTACGAGATAAAAGACGGTCGGATCGTCAACGGAGAGCAAATTCGACGTGAACAATCGAAATGTCACTTCATCGCTACCGAGAAGAACCCAGTTTTAAACAAAGGGGAGAACCAAATTCGTTCTCTTCTCTTTTGTAATCAAATTATAACCGGGATCGAAGAAATACAAGTCAAGTTTCTTTTATTCTCTTCATTGTAATTTTTTTAACATACACGTGGTATGAACATGTAACCATATTGATCTTATAATTAAAATTCAAGGGAAGCTAGTAACAATAGTTTAATTTAAAAGAATATTTCTTTAAATCTATCTGGTGTTAACTAGGGGGCCTAATTGTAAACATTGTGATGATTAGAGGGATGTAATAGAAATTTCATTATTTGAGTGACTAATTCTAAAATATTGAAGATTTGAGGGACTACTTTGGAAATATTAAAGATTTGTTAGTGTTTTTTATATATCTTTATGAATTTTTATTAGTTTATTTAATTATAGCTACATAATTAAATCACATATTCAATACATCATACTACCTTTAGAAGCACAAGTTCGGGAAAATCTTTTGATAGACAAAAATACCCTTAGAATTCAAATATTATTCCATTAAATAAATTAATGAGATAAATAATGTCTACCAATATGTTAGAACACAAAAAATTAGTGTTATTGTATAAATTAAAGTAACTGTATATAATTTTACCAATATGTTAGAACACAAAAATACATAAGTATTATTAATTGATAGACGACTAAATCACAAAAAACTGATAAAAGACTATAATGTAATAGCTTAACATTAATTGATTATAATTTATAAATATTTATCTGTAATGGTAATAATATTTATTAGGTAAAAATTTATAAAGATTTATTACATTTAACACTGTAAAAAATATATTACATTTAAAGCTAATATGCAGCGCTCCTTTAGAGTAAGCTGCCAAGACAAAATGATCTATATTAAGGCTCTTTATAAATGCAACATAAATTCAAATTACTAATATATACAACCATTATAACATTTGAAAGAGGTATGATCTTAGAAAACCTACTCTAAAATTCATATAATTAAACATAATAATAATTTACCAATATACAGACACACTATCGCACCTTTAAGACAACGATAACTACCATTTATAATAGAGTTGTACAGTGATTCTATGTTTGCAAAAGTTGCAATAAGAAAATAGATAAAGATACTAATAATAAGTGTCCAGATGATAAATGTTGTAGAATCGCTGATGATTTAGTACCAAGGTTAAGTGATATCTTCTTCATAAAATAAATATATCAAAATTAAATATTTATATTATAATCTAAAGCAAATTAACAATAAAAAATTTAATGTATTTAGTTCAAATCCTCATAGAAAATGACACATACAAAGCAAATATAACATTATGACACAGCAGAAATTCTTATTGGATGCATAACAAAAGAATTCATTGTAGAGAAAAAAGAGGTAGCTCCTAATCTTATTTAAGTAATAAATTAAAAGCATAAAAAATTCATATATATGAAATTAAGATTTATTCTTATTGAAATAGGAAAAAATCAAAGTTTGTATTGTCAGAAGTTTGTGTTGAATATAAGAAATATATTCAACTTCTTTGTGAATTTAGACGAGAAGACAAAAGATGAATGAGCCCAAGGAAAGATAACATGCTCTAGTCTCATATCAAAACCGATGTAGATGATGAAGACACTACTACTCTAGAATTGGCTAGGAAAAAGGTAAAGATGAAGAATGGTTGATCTCGACTCAATAAAAAATAAAATAGAAGTAACAAAAGATAATGTTTTGTAAATTGTTATAGAATAGTTTTATTTTTTAGTAAAATTAGGAATCTTTAGAAGAGATTTTCATAAACTATTTTAGTGCTTTTATATGCATATGTAGATGTTTTTATCATATAAAAGTGTACTAGAGTTAGCATTAATCTTCAGTTTATGATTTTTTTATTAACCATTTTCTATCATTTTGGCTCATTTTAAATCAATCATCTTGGCTTATTAGCTTTATTATTCATCTTCCTTTTATAATGTTATTTTTTCAAGTGTTTTCACTTTCATAACACTATACTTCCTCAGGTCAAACTCGGTTTCATGCCGATCCAAATGAAATGAAAATTTAAATTGGCTTTAGATTATATTTATCTCCTGACAATTCAACTATCAATATAAAAATTTAAACTGGATGTAGCCTATTCAAACAAATATCAAATAAATAAATAATCAAAGTGTAATCGAGGAACAAATTTTAGTAAAAAATAAGCCAAAAACACTTAATCAAAGTGAGCAAATTATTATCAAAGAGTAACCGATGAATAAATTTTAATAAGAAAATAAATCAAAAATACTTAATCATAATATTTAACCACGTACATAAAATCTAGTAGTCTAAAATTTGGTGCTCTAAATATATCCCCAAATAAAACATCACTCTTCCTCCATTCTATTCGTTAACCAGCTTTCCCCCAAAAATTTCCCCCAAATTCTAAAATTCCGCCCTCTCTAATTTCCAGCCCCCTCTAAAATCCCTAACCCCAATCTCTGTTCTCTCTGTTCTCTCCAGCAGCCTCCATCAACCTTCGTGCATCCTTCCTCTCTGTCTCCTTCTCTTGTGTTACATTACATCACCTTCTCCTTTCTTCTCCTTCCTCCCCCAATCGCTTTCGTCAAACGTCAAAAACCAACATAAGTGCTCGATCAACCTCTATTCTCCCCTGTTTTATTTTTATTCGTAGTTCTCTCATTATAAATACAAAGCCTGGCTCTATTCAATCTTATTATTGCATAAAACTTCCTCAACCTTAATTAATTAACCTCTGACAATGGGATCCATGTCTAACTTTGACCAGCAGCAGGGCTCGATCCCCAAGAGTTTGAGCTTTGATCACCTCCTCGATCTTCGATTTCGTCGGTGAAAAGGGTGCCATCGGTGTCGAATCTGAGGTCGAGGTCATCGATGGGATCGGAGAAGGGGATGCCAAAGAAACCGGATCCTAAGATTGTTCGTGCTGCTACTGGTTACATCCTTAAGGATGTGCCTCACGTGACTGATTATATCAAGGATCTTGCTTTATTTTTAATTTTAATTAAAAATCTTTTTTTTTGGGTTTTGCCTTTGTTGGCGGTGGTGAGTTGATGCCTGTTAACAATTGCAAATTAGAAGCTGTGGTATTTGATTTTTAACTTTGCTTAAAGTGGAGCTTTTATCATGTTCCATTAATCTTGGCTCTCGTAATTTTGAGTGTGATAGCAGATAGCTTACACAATATTTCTAATCACCCTTGGAACTTTTCCCCCCTCTTTTTATTTTACTTAATGAGTTTGGCTCATCCATTTGTTATTTTCTTTTGATAGACATATCCCAACCTGCTGCAAGACAATCCTTCATATTCAGTGGTGAAGTATGCACCCATCTAATTCATCATTCGAGGTGAGATTTTGCTTGATTTTTATTCTGTTGCATTCAGCTCAAGTCTCTGTAAATCTATAACTCAATTGGTTCTTAAACAACTTATTATGATATTCCAATTGTAAACTCAGATGATGCTGAACATGATGTACCTTACAACAACTTCAAAATGTAACATGCTTTGATGATAGAGGAAAAGTTTTTAGGCTAAATTTTAAATAAATTTGAATGCTATGATGATAGAGGAAAAGTTTATTTTTTAATTGTGTAATTTGATAGTTTTTTATTTTCTTTTGGTATGTTGTGATATCTAGTTTGTTCATAGAGTAGAAATTGGAGTGACTATAGTTCTGTGTATGGACAAATGTTTGTCTACTTTACTGAGAATTTATTTAAGTTTTCCTCTGTTTTAATACAAAATCTTGTGGAAGAGCCACTTTCGTGATTTCTTTTTAGCTTATGTTGTTTCATTTTATGGGAAAGGAGCAAAGGGGCTGGAAGAGCCACTTTCGTGATTTCTTTTTAGCTTATGTTGTTTCATTTTATGGGAAAGGAGCAAAGGGGCTTTACTTGTATATATGACGTGACATATATGTATTTATTATAATATTTTTGGTATATATATATCTTATATGGAGTGATAATCTTTTCAGGTTAGAGGAGGTACTCCCGTAGGGAGCAGCAGTAAGATACGACATTCTAATGCAGACGACACTGATAACAAGGATGTCGACAACGACAAAGACGATGACGAGGAGTGAGTAAGACTTGTATTAAGACATATTATGACTTTTGAATTTTACCTATATGTAATATATTTGTGATTTTATTACATAGTGAATGAATATTATTTGAGCATGCGAGATGTATTGTGATTGTGATTATATGATGAGTATTGTTCGATATTGTGGATTGACGGATGAAATTGGATGGGTATTCATTCGGAATGTGAATGTATATCATGGTTGATTTTATGATATATTGTTAAATATAATCATTGGATTGATGTCGATACAGGCTATATGTGTATTCTCGTATGTGAGGCTACTAGAAAAGTAATTTTTTTGCGTAAATATATACATTAGCGATGGATTTCCCCGTCGCCAATGCACATTGGCGACAGATTTCCCCTTCGCCAATGCACATTGGCGATGACAAGATTGTCGTCGCTAATAAATATTGGCGACGGGGTGCATTCCGTCGCCAATAAACATTGGCGACGGACAACACGCCATCGCCAATGTATTTTGGCGACGACAATCTCGTAGTCGTCAAAACACATTGGCGACAGAAAGCACCCCGTCGCCGATGTTTATTGGCGACGACAATCTCACCGTCGCCAAAACACATTCGCGACAGAAAACACCCCGTCGCCAATGTGTTTTAGCGACGACGGTAAACTCGTCGCCAATGTTACCCGTCACCAATACCTCTCCGTCGCCAATGTGTATTGGCGAGGGGATTATTGGTGACAGACAATTGGGCGTCACAAATGTGCATTCGTGACGGATTTGACTGTATTGGTGACGGATTTCCCCATCACCAATACTCTGTTTTCTACTAGTGTATTTTCTCAAATATTATTACATAATATTGAATAAGGTATACTTGGCAATGATGGAAAACTAACCTTTTTACAAAAAATATTTAATATTAATAATGATACTATTTATTGTTAATGATAGTATAATAAAAATTTATAAAATATTTTATAGTACTAAATTAGATAAATATTTTATAGTATATAGATAGTATAATTATTTTGATAGTATTACTTGAACTAAGAATTATAATATTAAATAAAATAAATTATAGTAAACCCCCATGAACTTTTGGCATTTTACAATAAATAGACCCTATGAACTTTAGAAATCACACTAAACCCCTAATATTTTTTGTAGAAATCCCCCAATATCTTTTAGATAAATTACACCAAATCCCCAATAACTTTCTCAATGCTTTTTATACCATTTTTTGGTTCTAATTTATAGGGGTTATCTACAAAATTCAAAAAGATACAGGGGGTTTTCTTTAAAATAGAAAAGTCGTTAGGGGTTTAGTGTAATTTTGAAAGTTCATAGGGACTGAAAGTTCATAAGGGTTCAGTGTAATTTACTTAATTAAATAATTATAATGAGAAATAACTATTGCAATATGTTAAATGTATTAAGTGTAAGTATCTAGGGAGCATCAAGGAAAAACTTATTTAATTTAGAGTTAAGTTAGCAACTTTCAATTTGGAGGTGTATATTTAAGAGAACTTATAGAATTAGCAGTTTTATTTAAGAACAATTTTAAATTTGGGGACTTATTTAAAAAAAGTTAGTACGAGTTGATCATTACAAGAAAAATATTCAATTACAATAACTATACAATAATAATTAATTCATACATTTCTTTTTAAGCAAAATTATTATACAATTTATTTATTAACACATATAGTTTTACTATTCAATAAAAAATTCAAAACTTAAAACATATACATTCACGTGCTTTGCACGTGCATTATACTCCTATTAATAAAACTCTGATTGTTCTCTTTCAAGAAGAAAATATCATAAGAGCGTGCAATGGAAACATTCTTCAAACTTATAGTCTGGACTATATCATATGTTGTGGCCATGAAACTAACATCGAAGAAGAGAAAGAGGTTCGTTTAGATTTCAAAAGGAAATAGCTGAACACTGAAGAATGAGAAGAGTTGTTTTTCAAGAGGAAATACATAGTCCTTGTCTGCCATCCATCCTTTGAAGGATTTTCAAACTCAGCAATTATGAATCAAATAAGTCTTTTGTTAGTTTATTTGATTATTTCATTCTGCTGTTAGATCTAAATCAAAACTTGAGATCTAAAACCATATAGCCATGATTAACTCAAAGAGATTAACAATAATCAAAAGAGCGGAAGCTTATACCTGAATCCATGGATGAACCTTGAGATGGGTTTTGGATCTTCTAACCTTAGGGTTTCTCTAAATCCGAATTTCTCTAGCTAGATGGGGGTGTAGAGAATTAGAGAATGTAACCCTAGGTTAGGGACCATAACCCCTTATTTATAGATGTTGTACTTTTGTAATTTAGCCCCTCAATAAATCACAATTATAACCTGGTATCTGCACATATAACCCCATGATTATATTTAAATACTCATTAACCCAACTTAATTGATCACTTCAGTGGGTTATCCTGAAAGATAGCAATACACATTGATTAATCATATGTGCCCACAAATAGATTTATTAGATTAAATCCAACAATCTCCCACTTGGGCACCATATGATTCCTTAAATTGTGTATAACCTTATGAGCTCAAAAATTGCTATCACTGAAAAGGTATTTCCGAACAATCTCGTCCATTAACTATATCAATATAGGATCAAAGCGGCCTTCGTCACATTTATCGTGACTCGACCCATCAATGGTCACATATACCAATACAATCAAACGACATAGATCAATCATGGATGTGCAGCATGAAAATTACATGCAATGTGATCAGTACATGTCTATTTTCAACTGGTCCTCCTTAGTGAGGTCAAAACCAAACATAATGTAACAGAGTGTCTTAACTGAATACTTTATTCTGATCAGACAATACAACCAAACATAAAGCACCACAAATACAAACTCCCACTAAAACATAATATCCTCAAATAATACCACACCCATATGAGCAGTATGCTCATGAAAGACCTTAGGTGGCAATCCCTTAGTAAGAGGATCAGCTATCATGGAGTTTGTCCCAATGTGCTCTATGGATATCTGTCCACTCTGTACCCTTTCTTTCACAACCAGGAACTTAATGTCAATATGTTTTGACTTAGTTGAGCTCCTGTTGTTATTGGAATACATTACTGCAGATTTATTGTCACAATATAGCCTTAGTGGTCTTTCAACATTTTCCAAAATGCGCAGTCCCGTGACAAAATTTCGCAGCCATATTCCCTGATTGGATGCCTCATAGCAAGCTACAAATTCTGCTGCCATAGTGGAGGAAGCTACTAGTGTTTGTTTGACACTTTTCCATGATATAGCTCCTCCTGCTAACATATAAATGTAGCCTGATGTAGACTTCCTGCTATCTTGGCATCCAGCAAAATCAGAGTCCGAATACCCAATGACCTCTAATTTCTCTGATTTTCTGTATGTGAGCATGTAATCTTTTGTTTTCTGAAGATACCTCATAACCCTTTTGACTGCTATCCAATGATCCATACCAGGGTTGCTTAAGTATCTGCCTAACATCCCAACAATGTACGCAATATCCGGACGCGTACATACCTGAGCATACATTAGACTTCCTACAGCCGAAGCATAAGGAATCTTCTGCATTTCCTGAATTTCAAGGTTACCTTTAGGGCACTGATTGAGACTAAACTTGTCTCCTTTAGCAACAGGGGTGTCACCTGGTCTGCAATCTTGCATGCCAAACCTTTTAAGTACCTTATCGATATAGCTCTTTTGTGATAATCCAAGAATACCCCGAGAGCGATCTCGATGTATCTGGATCCCTAATATAAAAGAGGCGTCCCCAAGATCTTTCATCTCAAAATTCTTTGATAGAAATCTCTTGGTTTCGTGCAACATGCCTATATCATTAGTGGCAAGCAAGATGTCATCGACATACAGAACCAGAAAAATATACTTACTCCCACTGAACTTGTGATATACACAGTCATCAACAATGTTCATCTCAAAACCGAACGAGATAACTATTTGTTGAAACTTATGATACCATTGACGAGGAGCTTGCTTGAGTCCATAGATGGATTTCCTTAATTTGCAAACCATATTCTTTGGGTCTCCTGACACAAAGTTTTCTGGTTGCACCATATAAATCATCTCATCAATGTCTCCATTGAGAAATGCAGTCTTAACATCCATCTGATGTAACTCAAGATCATAATGAGCAACAAGTGCCATGATTATTCTGAAAGAGTCTTTCGATGAAACCGGAGAGAAAGTCTCTGTATAATCAATGCCTTCCTTTTGAGTATAGCCTTTAGCCACAAGACGTGCCTTATACCTCTCCACATTACCATTTGCATCCCGCTTGGTTTTAAAAATCCATTTACAACCAATTGGTTTTGCACCTTCTGGTAATGGGACAAGTTCCCAAACCTTATTGTCTTGCATAGACTTGTACTCTTCATTCATGGCATCAATCCACTGTTGAGAGTTAGAACTTTTCATGGCCTGAGAGAAGTTGATTGGATCATCTTCTAACATTCCACTACTTTCCTCATGTTCTTGAAGAAATACAATATAATCATCCGGAATAGCATGGAGAAATACAATATAATCATCCGGAATAGCATTTCTCCTTTCTCTCGTGGATCTCCTTAATGGCACTGGTTCTTGAGGTTGTTGAGTTTGTTCTTCTGGAACAGGGAGTTGTTCAACATTATCATCTTGAGGTTCCAGATTTACTTCTTGAGCAACAACAGGTATAGGAACCTGAATATTGTCAAAAGTAACTGTATGGATTGGATCTGAAGCCAATTCCTCCTCAAAACTAATGTCTCTAACCTTATTTCTCCCCCTAAACTCAACATCCTCAAAGAATGTTGTTGTTCCCATCTCAAAAATGAGCGTTCAGAGTATCCAATAAAGTAGCTGCTCTGTTTTAGAGTCCAATTTTTTTTTTCATTTGGCCTATAAGGCCTTGCCTCAGCTGGACATCCCCAAATATGTAAATGCTTTAAACTGGGCTTTCGACCAGTCCAAAGCTCATAAGGTGTTTTAGCAACTGCTTTACTTGGCACTCTATTCAGAATGTAAGCTGCTGTCTTAAGTGCTTCTCCCCAGAGTGACTCTGGTAAAGAAGAATGACCAATCATACTTCTTACCATATCCTTAAGAGTCCTATTTCGTCTTTCAACTAC